AAAAGTTGAGACTTTGAGAAATAGATACTTGTTTCTAAAAACTATTTTTTTTTTCTTTTGAATTACATATAATTTCAAAATGATTCTTTAAAAAAAAAGAAAAAAAGGAAAATTGAATTTATCCCATTGTTAAAAAACTAAAAATCAAAAACCAAAAACAGAACCCGTTTTGTTTTTGGTTTTTGGTTTTAGTTGTTAAAAAACAGGTTGGATCACCAATTCAATTTTCTGTTTTTGTTTTTCCAAAATCATTTTGAAATTCCATGTAAATTTCAAAAACAAAAAAAAAAATAGTTTTCAAAAACAGGTTTTGTTTTTCAAAAATCTGTTTTTTTGCCCTTTTAATCTTTAATTTTTTTCTTTCTCATATTTATCTCTAAAAAATTATTTCTCACTCTAAAAGTTTTTTATTTCTAAATTTCTCTTTACCAAGCTTATTTTTCTCTTTCTAAAAATTTAATATTTTTCTAACAGTTTTCTCTCTAAAATTTCATCTTTTATAACTTTTCTCTCTTCGTAATCTATTTTTTCTTCTGAAAAATTATATTTTATTTTCTCGTTCAATTTTCTTTCATGGTAACTTTTATTTGTCTTTGTATTTATTTATTTTCTCTAAAAAATTATAGTTTGAATCTTGTTTTTATCTCTAAATTTGTTTCCACCATATTTTTTCTCTTTCTTTATAATTTCTTTTTTTTTCTTTAACATCTCTTCCTCCCAACTTTACTTTTTGATAAATTTCCGCAGGTCCCAAAATTAGGAAATGTATGTCCCGACCCTGTCCCCGTCCTTGTCCCAATTTCATTTTTTAAATAATTAATATGTATTTATTACACTTTTTTTATACTTAAATTCTAAAAATAATTAAAAACAATTATAAAACCGATAATTTTTCTTGAGAACATCTCTCGGACCCAAGAACGAGGTGGAGACGGAGACTAAAAATTTTCACGAGCACGAGAATGGAGAGAGCATCCTCACTCGCACCCACACCATTGTCATTTCTACTCTATATAAAATTTTCTCTCTCTAATATGTATTAGAAGTTATAAAAGGTTATCAAACATATATGGTTTTTTTTTAAAAAAACAGAAAACCAAAAACCAAAAACTAAAAACAAGAAAAACCAAAAACGAAAAACTAAAATGGTTATCAAACCGGTCCTAAGGGCCTCATTTGGTTTTCTTTTGAATTACATATAATTTCAAAATGGTTTAAAAAAAATTGAATTCATCTATTGTTAAAAAACTAAAAACCAAAAACCAAAAAATAAGGACACGTTTGATAACCATTTCGTTTTTGGTTTTTGGTTTTTAGTTTTTTAAAAAACAGGATTGTTTGATAACCGATTTAATTTTCTGTTTAAAAAATCATTTTCAAATTCTATGTAAATTTTAAAAAAATGTAGATTTTAAAAACAGGTTTTTGTTTTTAAAAATATCATTTACTCGACTTTTTTTTTCTTTCTCATATTTATGTCTAAAAAATTTATTTTTCACTCTAAAATTTTTTTATTTCTAAATTTCTCTCTACAAACTTTATTTTTGTCTCTCTAAAATTTTCATATTTTGAATATTTATTGTATTTGTCTCGCTCCAAATTTTTATGTATTTTTTTGTCTAACATACCAGTTTCATTTTTCTCCATAAAAATTTAAAATTTTTCCTGACTTTTTTTTCTCTAAAATTTTATATTTTATAACTTTTATTTTTCTTCGTAATCTATTTTTTTCTCTAAAAATTATATTTTATTTTTTCATTTAATTTTCTTTCACTGTAATTTTTATTTATCTGTATATTTATTTATTTTCTATAAAATTTATATTTTGAATGTTGTTTTGATCTCTAAATTTGTTTCCACTATCAATTTTCTCTTTGTTTGTAATTTATTTTTTTTCTTTAACATATATTTTTCCCTCAATTATATTTTTTTGCAAAATTTTTCTCTTTTTGTCTTTAACTTTTCTTTAACTATTTTTTTTCTAAATATTTTTATTTATGTCTCTAAAATTTATCTTCTAAAAGTTTATTTACATCTCTATTTTCATGTCTTTACATTAGGGGAAGACAAAGATTTTTGCAGGGGTCCCAAAAATAGAAAATGCATGTCCTGACCCTCTTCCCGTCCCCGATTCTATTTTTTAAATAATTAATATATATTTATTACACTTTTTTATATTTGAATTCTAAAAATAATTAAAAACAATTATAAAACTGATAATTTTTCTCGAGAACATCTCTTGGACCCAAGAACGAGATGGAGACGGAGACTAAAAATTTTCACGAGCCCGAGAATGAGGGAGAGCATCCTCACTCGCACCCACACCATTGTTGACTCTACTCTACATAAAATTTTCTCTCTCTAATAGTATTTTCAATTTTCTAACTTTTTAAAAACAAAAAACAAAAAATGGTTACCAAACATGTTTTGGCTTTTTGTTTTTTAAAAACAAAAAACAAAAAATAGTTATCAAGCATATATGATTTTTTTTTAAACAGAAAACGAAAAACCAAAAACTAAACATAAAAAAAATCAAAAGCCAAAAACTAAAATGGTTATCAAACGAGTCTATCCAACCAACCTAGCCTAAGATATTTTAGTTATTTATTTTTATTTTATTATTATTATTATTTGACAATCAATATTTGAGTTGTTAGTTCAGAATGCTTCAGCCTCGGAGCAGCAATGGTTATGTCACATGTACGAGTGCTTTTTTGTTTTGTATTATTTTTTGTTTTTTTTTTTTGTTTTTGGAAAGGCGACCATTTAATTTTGCCCATATAAATATACAAATTAATTCCATCCATATATCTTTTCAAAAATAAAAAGAAATAAAAAATTCCATCCATATATATCCAATTCCTATTCTTACCTTTTTGTTTTTTGAATTCCACCAAAAATGGAGTGTGGGAGTAATTCCGTATAAATTTGATCATTGTATTATTATATTCTTATTTCCATAATTAAATCTTCTATTTTCTATTTCTATCCCTTTGACTACCTAAATTATATCCATTCAATTACTTTTGTTTTTCTTATATTTTTTTTATGGCTGTACTTTCTCATCAATGGAAACTCAAAATTGATATGGTAATTTACAATATTCTTTCCTCGTGCACGATCATATAATAAGATAAAATAAACAATTTAAAATATATATATATATAATTGTGAAAATGTCATATGCTTTTAATTATATGTCAAAACAATGTATGAAGATTAACATTTTTAATTTGAATAAAATTAAAATTTTAAGGATTAGGATAAAAATTGGTTTGTTTTTTGTTTTTTTGTTTTTTTTTGTTTTTATTGTTTTTTTTGAGGTTTGAACTTTCATGTTGGAGCTTATTGAGTGTTATTAGGAGCAGATTTGTAAAGATAAGTGAATTGAATTGGCATGATGTCAATTTTATTTCTACATTTTGGATTATTTAAGTTGTAACACTTTTACTTTATTCATTCATGAAATGAAAAGAGCAAACCATGTTAAATTAAAATCAAATAGGAACTATATTTTAAAAAATATAAAATGTGCTTATTTATTCTGCTATTTCTTGTGATATGTTTTTCCCTTTTTAACTTTTGTGGATTTTTAATGAGATTAAAGAATTATATTATATATTTAAAAAGATGAGTTTTTTTTTTCTTTTGAGTACAACAACATGTGGGAGTGTGAATTCGAATAACTCACAACCTTTTAATCAGGAATATATATGCGTTAAATAGTTTAACTATGAAAAGATGAACTGAGAGTTTAAAATAACGAAAATTTGAGAGTCAGCATTCCATACCTTTCATTTTGTGTTTCATTATTTCAACTTTAAAAAAATATGTGCGTTTGATTTTCAATTTTTTTATTAAGAAATATACTTTTTCACAATTATATAAATTTTGGAAAAAACAACAATTTTTGACGCACTAAAATTTTGAAATCCATAAATTTGAAGTAAAGACTAAATTGAGATTTATTATTATTATTATTATTTTTAGTACAAAGATTGATATTTATTTAAACCCTAAACTAAACTATAATTATAAACGAGTAATTTTTCTAAAAAAAATTATAAATGAATAATTAGAAAATACCCTAAACTAAACTATAATTTTAAATGAATAACTTTCCTAAAAAAAGTATAAATGAATAAATTGAAAAATTGAGATTTATTGTAAAAGATAAATAAGGAACGAATCATTCAGAAAAGAAAAAAAAAGGAATGAATCAAATCTAAATCAAAATGGAAAAAAAAAAACTAAATCAAACATTGCAAACCAAATCATGCGCAATTATGAAAAAGATTGATAAAATAAAATAAAATAATTGAATTGTATATAGTTGTAAATATTTGATGCTG